CCTCATCATCATCATCCTCCTCCTCATCATCATTACTCTCATCATCATCATCGACATCATTATCGTCATCAGCACCTCTGACGTCATCGTCGTCGTCCTCGCCATCTCTGACGTCAGCGGAGTAAATTGTATGTAATTTGTTTCCACTTGGCGTGGGCTCGGCTGTCGTTATGAAAAATTGCTGGCAAAAGGACGATGATGATGTTGTTGTTTTTGTTAATGATGACGTTGATGAAGCCGCTTTTGCTGCTGCTGCTGCTGAGGATGATGGTGATGATGACGACAACGATGATGATGATGATGATGATGATGATGATGTCAATAGCACTGATTTAGTTGATGGGTACGACAATGATAAAGATGATGATGCCGAAAATGTCGTTGTTGTTGTTGTTGATGATGATGATGATGATGATGATGACGACGACGACAGAGATGAGGTTTCGACTACCAATGCGTCATGTGAGCCTTTTGTGATGTTAGTGAATTAAGAAAAAGTCATATTAAGCCTCTTCATTTGCGTTCAAACATTGAAACCAAAACACAATCAAAGATACTACCACTGATGCTACTACTATTACTTGCTACTGTTACCACTACCACTACTGCTGCTGCTGCTGCTACCCTTACTACTACTACCACTACTACTACTTGAAACGCTACTGGTGCTTCTACTACTGCTACTACTAGGGCTTTATATGAAATAATAATAATAATGATAATAATAATTGTTATTAATAAAAAAACAATAATAATAATAATAAAATAAGAATAATAATAAAAGTGGAAAAAACTTAACTACTTGCCAGGGGCAACGTAGGAAGCTAAAAAAAATTTCAACAGTGGTTTGCAAACGCTGAACGTAATGAGATGAAGGAGTGAGTGAGTGAATGAATGAGTGGATGAATGAGTTAATGAAAGAGTGAAGAATAAACGAACAAATAAATGAATGAATGAATGAATCGATGAGTGAATGAATAAATAAATGATTCCGCGAATAAGTGAATGAATAAACGAATGAATGAATAAACGAACGAGTGAACTAAAGAACAGATGAATGAATGAACAAAAGAAAGAACGAACGAATGAATGAGTGAACGAACGATTACGTGATGTATATGAGGGAGCACAAAAAATAAATGAATGGGAAAATTTTCTCGAAAATTAAATTTTTTGCGGAGAACAAATCAAAGAAGACAACTGAAATGATGATGACGACGATGATGATGACGTCAGCGATGATAACGATGATGATGATACTGCCGATGATGAAGATGACGACGACGATGATGATGACAGATAAAATAAAATAGCAAACAGTTATTTAAATGCCGTTGTAAACTATTCAACTACAAAATTATTGAGAATAATAATAGGAAAAACCAACAACAACCACAACAACAACAACCACAACAACAACAACCACAACAACGATAAATAATAACAATATACACAGGCATGAATGTAAATGATAAGATGAATAAACATATCCAGACGGAGATATCTTGGAGTTAATCTCGATAATAACACTTCATCAACTGCCACTACATCTGGAATGGCGACGATGATGATTGTGATGTTGACGACGCTGGTGGTGGTGATTGTGATGATTAACATCATCATCATCATCACCATCAACATCGTTATCGTTATATTTCTCGAAATAAAAAAGAAGTAAAATGAAATATTAATGACGTCATCGTTGCCTGATTTTCAATGCGCATGTCAGAGAAGTTTCGTCTGTCCATCAAATTCATTCATCCATTATTTCATTCGCTCATTCGATCTTTTAATCAATCAATCCATCCATCCATCAATCAATCATTCACTCATCTTGTCATTCAATTTTGTTATATTATCTTTTCATCCATATATCTATATATCAATCCTTTCTAATTGAACGCACGCACGCACAAACAAGCAAACAAACAAACAAAAACACATTCACGCACACAAACACACACACACATGCACGCAAAGATACACGCATACATACACATATACATAGTGATTGTTGGCAAAGATAGGCGCGTTATCATAAATATCATTTATCTAATCTATTTATTATGCATCTTTCGCTACGAAAGCACTAAAAAACACACACACACTTACATACATACACACACACATACACACACACACGCATACATACATACATACACACATACATTCATTCAAACAAACATACATACATATATATATACATACATACAGACATACATACATACATACATACATACATACATACATACATGCATACATACATACATACATACATACATACATACATACATACATACATACATACATACATACATACATACATAAATACATACATACATACATACATACATACATACATACATACATACATACATAAATACATACATACATACATACATACATACATACATACATACATACATACATACATACATACATACATACATAAATACATACATACATACATACATACATACATACATACATACATACATACATACATACATACATACATACACACATCAGTTAATCAATCATATAATTAATTCTAAAAAAAAGATTATTTCTTCTTTATTAGTTTTTAATTTAATCTTCCGTAATTGAAATTTATTGAACCGTGAATATCTTTAGTTATTAATTTTACTATTCTTCTACCTAACAATTCATTAATTCTTCATCCATTCATTCATTCTTTCATTCGTTCGTTCATTCATTCATTCATCCATCAT